CCGTCGGCGACAAGGCAGGCCATGCTGAGATGAAAAAGCGAAGGCTTTGTATTGATTTTGTACAGTCAGGATGGGCGGGCCCAGATTGACTGCCGCGCGCGATGCGCGCCGCGTCCCATTCCTGCAGCGTTTTTCGCATCGTCGACGACAAGAAAGACGATGTTGAGAAGAAAAACGGCCACTGTGTATTGTTTTTTTTACAGACGGCGGTGGGACAATGGGACAGAGGTACAGTGGGGACAGTGGCGGGGACAGTGGGGACAGTGGTGGGAACAGTGGGACAGCTCAGTGGGACAGCGGAAGGGTCAGTGGGACAGTGGGGACAGTGGGGATAGTCGGGCAGTGGTTGGGGCCGTGGAGAAAGTGGGGAGAGTGGAACCATGGTGGGAACAGCGGTGGGGACAGTGGGGACAGTGCGACAGTGGTGGGGGCACTGGTGGGGACAGTAGGGACGGTGGTGGAACCAGCGGGGACAGTGGTGGTGAGGACAGTGGCGCTGGGAACAACAGTGGACCGGTAGTGACCCCCCTTCGGTTTTCGAGGGGGGGGGGGGTTCGAACCGGTAGTGACCCCCCCCGGCTTTCGAGGGGGACGGGTGGGGGGGGGGGTGTTCGAAACCCGGGGGGGGGACCCACCCCCCCGGATTTTCTGAGGGAGACACGAGAGGGGGGGGGGGGAGGGGTGTAGGGGAGGGGGTGGTTTTGCCGGGGGCGGGAGGGGGGGCGGGGTTCCAGCAGGGGGGAGGGGGGATTTTCGGAGAGGGGGGGGAGGAACCCCGGGCTCCGGAGAAAAAGGGCGGCAACCTTCCACAGTAAAGCGGCGGTGGATCACGCTCTTTCGATGATGATGATCATGATCATGATCGCGATGTTGATACGAATGATTACGACAGTTGTGATGATTGTGGTGGTGATGATGATCATCTTGGTGGTGATGATGATGATGACGATGATGATGGTGACGATGACATGGATAATGATAGTGATGAGGATGATGATGATGCTAGTTGTGATGAGGATGCGTTATAGTAGTAACGAGTATGAAGGCGATGATGCCGACGACGATGATGAGGATGATGCCGATGACAAGGAGGAGGAGGAAGAGGAGAGAGGAGGAAGGAGGGGAAGGAGGAGAGGAGATGAGAGGAGGAGACGTGCGGCGCTGTCGACTGAAAAAGTGGCCCAACCAAAACACAGGGGGTTGAGAAGAATAGTGTCCCATTAATTGTTTTATATGCTAAAGACCCGCAGCGGTTCGACGTGAGGGGATCTAGGGTTGCAGGAGTGGGGTCCTAGGGAGCCCCTGCATGGCTTCCAGGCTGCCACCGCGGACCCGAAGGTGCACTCAAGGTGCACGCTCCTTCACCGAGGACAAAGAACCCCGAACCCTGATAACATCGGTGACGTTCACACAGGTGCCCTTCTATGCACTAGGGGTACTACATCTCGGCGGGCTCGTTTGATACATCTGCCGAAAAGACCTCCTAGCCCTGCTGTCGTTGCCCCTCCTCACTTGGGTCCCCTCCCAAACGGTTAGGGGTCCTTCTATTGCCTATCGTTCCTTCACGCCTCTTCACCCCGCATGCTACTGTCGGGGGAGCGTAAGACCCGGGTTTGCCGGGACTCGGGTTCGCCATCGTTTTTTGACGACCGCGCCTCGGATTTTGACGAGGAGGAGTTTCGTGGGATGTCTGCAGCGGGAGGCCTCGTCAAAATGCAGGCTCGGCCTCGTCATTTTTTTTGACGCCTCGTCGGGGATTTCCGAGTCCCCCGTACCCGGGTCTTACGTCTCCCCGATACTGCCTCCCCGTTGGTGAACACCCGAAAGGGAGCGGCTCGCGCACGGCGGGGCGCCATGCGCAGAGTCGGGCGCCCCCGCTCCCGCGATCCGCTCCCGCGATCCTCTCCCCTGGAATGCTCGCACCTCTCCCTCGATCCTCTCCCTCGATCCTCTCCCTCGATCCTCCTCCTCGATCCTCTCCCCTGGAATGCTCGCACCTCTCCCTCGATCCTCTCCCTCGATCCTCTCCCTCGATCCTCCTCCTCGGTCCTCTCCCCTGGAATGCTCGCGCCAGGTGCGAGGGGCCGGAGTCTTCGGCTGCCTGGTGGTGGCGGCGGTGATGTCGCTCGGGGAGCTGGTGCACGTCCCCGCGTGCGTCCCGAGGGCTCGGGGCCCCTCCGCCGCCCCCCCACGAGGACGAGGAGGACGAGGAGGACGAGGAGGACGAGGAGGAGGAGGAGGAGGAGGAGGACGAGGAGGACGAGGAGGAGGAGGAGGACGAGGAGGACGAGGAGGACGAGGAGGAGGAGGAGGAGGAGGAGGAGGAGGACGAGGAGGAGGAGGAGGAGGAGGAGGACGAGGAGGGGGAGGAGGAGGAGGAGGAGGAGGAGGAGCGCCGTCCGCCGTCCGCCCCCTCTCCCCCCTCTCCCTTCTCGTGGATCCTCCTCCCACGATTTCCAGGAGGGGCAAAACACACAGACACAATTCACCGGCGATTCCCAGAAGATATGGGAAAAATATTGGAATCTAGGCCTCCCAAATGGGGTCGGAGTAGATGGGGTCGGTGGATCGCGCCGTATCGCCGATGCATCGACGATGCGGCTCGATGCGGAGACCGTTTTTCCACACGCAGATGTCGCCGATGCATCGCCGACGTCGCCGATGCATCGCCGATGCATCGGGATGCATTGGCGATGCGGCGCGATCCTTCGACCCCATCTACTCGGACCCCATCTAGGAGGCCTCTATGGAAGTGGGGCGGAAGACGAGAACCCAGAACATAGGGGGAATCTTTTTAATTGGTGTGTATTTATTTGTGTGTCCCAGTTCCCCTTCATATATGGAGCAATAGCGAAGGGAAGTTCCTCCTCCTCCTCCTCCACCTCCTCCTCCTCCTCCTCCTCCTCCTCGTCCTCCTGCTGTATGGAGCAATAGTGAAGGGAAGCAAAAGATCGGGGAACCGGGAGCCGGGACCCGGGAGCCGGGAGCCAGGAAACCGGGAAACCGGAGGGGAGGAAGCGGCGAGGACGGAGCACGAGGAAGGGGAAGAAAAAAAAAAAAAAAGAAAAAAAAAAAAAACAAAGAAAAAAACGAAAACAAAAAAAACAAAAAAAAAAGAAAAAAAAACAAAAAAGAAAAAAAAGAAAAAAACCAGGAGCCGGGAAGCTGCGGACAAGGATCCTGGGAACGCAGGACCTGGGACATGTGTTCAGGAATTGTCGGGGGAGCGTAAGACCCGGGTTTGCCAGGACTCGGGTTCGCCATCGTTTTTTGACGACCGCGCCTCGGATTTTGACGAGGAGGAGTTTCGTGGGATGTCTGCAGCGGGAGGCCTCGTCAAAATGAAGGCTCGGCCTCGTCATTTTTTTAACGACCTCGTCGGGGATTTCCGAGTCCCCTGTACCCCAGGTCTTACGTCCCCTTGTGTTGTTAATTGTTTGTTTGAAAATTTTTGTGATTTTGTTTTTTGGTTGAATGTTGTGTGATGGGAATTGTGTTTTTGGTTTTGATGTGATGGAAATTTGTTGATTTGAAATTTTTTTGCCCGGTGGGAATTTGAATTGATTTACCCGACAATTTGTGAAAAATTTTTGTTTATGATTGTTTTGTTTTTTTTTTGTCTTTTGTGTTGATTTGTTTTGTGTTGTTTTGATTTGAATTGTGTTTTTGATTGAATTTTTTTGATTTTGTTTTTTTGTTTTTTTTGAAATTTGTTTTTGTTTTGTTGTGTTTGTGGATTGATTTGTTTTTTGAATTGATTTGTTTGTGTTTTGAATTTGTTTGATGAATTTTTGTTGTTTTGTGGAATTTGAAAGTGGGAGAGGGAGAACGAAGGATAGTCATATATAGAGACAGAGACATCACAAAAAACGAATGTAATGTATCTATATAACGCCGTATAGCTAGATACAGGAAAAGAGAGAGAGAGAGAGAACGAAAAGAGATAGATGGAGGCACCAATCATACGCGCTTCTATATAATGTGTATAGTTGATACCAGATAACAGCCCCAATCATAATTGGTTTAGGGCTATTGGGCTATACGGCCATAGGGCTACAGGGTTATTGGGCTATTGGGCAATAAGGCTACAGGGCTATAGGGCTGTAGGGCTATAGGGCTGTACGGGCTATAGGGCTATAGGGCTATACGGGCTATAGGGCTATAGGGCTACAGGGCTACAGGGCTATAGGCCTATGAGCTATAGGGCTATAGTGCTAAAGGGCTAAAGGGCTAAATGGCTATAGGGCTAGAGGGCTATTGGGCTATAGGGCTGTAGGGCCGTTGGGGCTATAGGGCTATAGGGCAATAGGGCGATAGGGCGATAGAGCACCCGGGCACCTAGGCACCTGGGCACCCCCAGGCACCCTCCGGGCACCCCCTGGTATTTCCGGGCACCCCGGGCACCCCAGGGCACCCGGGCACCCAGACGGGCCACCGAAATCGGCGACCCACCTCACCTAACCATATGAATCCGCTAGGACCCCTACAGAGGCAGACTCTGGTTGGGGAATATGTGTGTATGCACGGAAACGAGAGAGATCGATACATGTATACACATGCATGTATATGTCAACATATGTGAAGCTGTATATGCATATAGCTATGATTATGTACATGTACGTCGTCTCAAAGAAATGTACACATAGGGATAGTTCGAAAGACGCATGTAATGAGATGTAGAGAGAGGGAGACATAACGCAGAGAGAGAGAGGGGAGGGAGTCACAGCGAGAGAGAGGGTAAGAGAGCGTGGCCCATAAGTACACATGCCTACGAGATATGTCCGTTCTATTAACGTATATAGAAATATTTATTGTGATAGAGAGGGAGAGAACAAAAGTCAGAGACCCAAAGAAAACGATAGTATTGAGAGGAGGAGAGAGAGAGAGAGGAAGAAAGAGAGAAGAGAGAAAGAGAGAGAGAGAGAGAGTGAGAAACCAGGACCGAGAAGTCGGAACCGGTTAACCGCAGGAACCCCAGAACCGGGAACCCAGAACCGGGAACCATGCAGGATGCAGGAACCGGGAACCAGGAGTTGGCAACCAGGAGCCAGGAACCAGGAGCGCGCTGGGAATTTGGAGCCGGGAATTGGGAACGGGGAACCGGGAACCGAGAGGTCGTTGATTGAAGGACCTTCAATTCTTTTTCCTTATAAATAACTTCTCCCTGTTTCGCCTGAGTCTTCCTCACCGTTTATGATTTTGAAGCTCGAATTGGCAACAGCTTCACAGATGGTGGGCGGGTCGTTTTCAAAATGTGGCTCTCGCTTTAGCGCGGCTCACATTCGTTTTAAACATTTGCAAGAGCTTCTCGGATTGAGGGCGGGTGGTTTTCAAAATGTGGTTCTCGCCTTAGCGCGGCGCACATTCTTTTTAAGAATGTGCAAGAGTTTTACGGATTGAGGGCGAATCTTTTTCAAAATGTTGTTCTCGCTTTGGCGCGGCGCACATTCGTTTTAAGAAGTTGCAAGAGTTTCACGGATTCCCATCATCAACGCGTCAGAAATGGGCTTCTGAACGGATTCAGGATTATGCGGGTGCAACAGTCATTTTGGTTCGCTGTGTTGAAGTCCCAGGAATGGTGTTCTGGCACAATTCTGGATTGTCAAGACGCAACAGTCAGGTGGATCCGTGGCGTTGCAATCCCGAGAACAATGCTTTGGCATGCTTCAGGTTCTTCGAACAGTTGTCTTCCAAAGGGGCAGTTCCTTCAATGGAAATAAGCCCATCTAGGGGTCTATGAAGAGGGAGCTTGGAGGGAGGGTTTATTCCAACATCGTTGATGACTCTTGGGTTTACACTGGGCTACTTACTCCTCCTCGCCGACCGGCCAGGGCACTAGCCCCACCATGGGGAACGCGTTCGAAAGCAGCGATCGTTCCAGCTTGAAGGATCCCCCCTTCCCACCTCCCTGCCCCCCGCCGCCACCAGGATCTCCCTTCGCCCCCTGTCTGCTTCCCCTTTGCGCCCCCATTCGTCAGCGGTCAGCCCCATCTCCGCCTCCCCCCTGCCAACACCCCTGTCGGGTAGTGTCATGGGGGGTCACGACTGGGCCGCTTTGAAGACGTTGGAGAATTCTTGTGGGCCCACTGTCTCGAGGAGACGGTGCTTCCTTGCGGAAGTGGAGACCCCCCTACAGACATGTCTGTAGTGGCGACCCCCCTTGGCGTTGCCCAGCCTTGCACCTCCCGTCCCGGTCAGGACGTCCCCTCCCCTGCTTCCTCTCCTCCCTCCTTGTGCCCCCATTCGTCAGCCCTGGCCCCCCCTTTCGGCGGCGAGCCCGGGGGGGAGTGAGAAGGGGCGGGCATTTTCACAAGCTTCGGAAGTCCCCCAGCCTCCTGAGAAGTTCTCTTGGCCTTCCCCGAAGACGCAGGAGACCTCTCAGAAGGCCGCAGGCCTTCTGAGAAGTCCCGCCGCCTTCTGAAAGGGCCTTCTCCTTCTCACTTCCCCCCCTCGCTCGCCGCCGACCCTTGCCCGTAGAATTACGGACACGTGTGGCGGAACTCTGTCACGAGTGATTCGTTTATTGTGTGAACGGCGCGCAGGTTTCGCTTTTGATCGTCTGCTGTTTGTTTTGTCCTCGCGTCCCTGCGGATGCTTCGCCGTGCTCGGCCGCCCCCTTTGTCCATGGGGAGAGAGCGAGATGCGATGAGACGTCGCGGCCCGACCACTTCTGACAGGAAGGGAGTCGAAGTAGAGCGACTATGAGTCGTACGATGAGTACACCTTAGGCGATGCTTAAGAAAACCCAAGTTTTCGGCCAGAGTCTCGATTATTCTTAACGTTTCGATGTAAATCTGAAGATTTTAGTAGACATGTTGGGTTTTTATTCAAGTTCTGAGACTATGAATTTCTTAACCCATGATTTCTTAAGCATTTCGCAGGGTGTAGATGAGGAGGACGAGGAGGAATGACAATGATAAACATACCGATGAGTTGGAAAAGGAGAGACCGACAGAGAGGGGAGGGACGTGGCAGCAAGCGTGGTTGCATCCGCCGCTGGTCTCCCAGGGAGGGGGGACGGTTGGGTCGTCTACGGCGCTTGCATCATGATTTATGGCAAGGCCGTCGGCTTCTTGGTGGGATGGTCCGCGCCTCAGACGTGATCATCGGCAGCTCAGGATTCTCGCAACCGTTGACCCTCCCATGCTTCGTTGGTTGCCACGTTCTCCAAGCTTCTGATATCCAACGGGGGCGGCTTGGACCCCCAAGGTTGCGGGTTCTTCAAGCTTTTTGAACATCAGGGGTCCATCGATTAGCAAGTCGGGGTATTGGGCACACATCCACCACATTGGTTCTCTGGTGCATCATGGTTTCAAGATTTTCACGCGGCCCTGTATCTGGTCAGCGTCGTGTCTGGCCGAATCGGTTGAGATAACGTGCACATCCCTTTGCACACTGCAGGGGCCGTGCGCACCAGGTGATCCCAGGAACCCGATCTAGCTTCACTCACCATGATGTTATCCAGTTTCACTCATCCAGGCGTCGTCGTCTGCCGTCAGCAGCTGCCCTGAGGACGAATTGCCATGTGTCGAATGACCCGGCAAGTCTTCACGAATGTTCGATCGGGGAGATGAGGCTGGGTAGTTCGACGCTCATGCGCAGAAGAGCTGTGCACAGGTCTGGCAAATCGTTCTTTTCGATGGCCGGCCGGAACCTCCGAGCCGCCAGGCACAAGCTCTTGTGCTCGTGCGGTCGTGTGCGTGCCCATTGTTCTCTGATCGCAGCGATCACACTCATCTCTGCCTGCATTGGACCGCGTCATTTACTCGTTTGTTCGTGGACAGGTTTGCCGCGATCACCAGCGTCACGTTCTCCTTCTTCGTGGTTCGGGCGGTTGGCGGTAAGAGCTTCTCGCAGATCAAGAGCAAGAGGATTCGGGCTGTCCTGGCCCAGCTGGACAAGAGGCCGCCCAGTCTCCAACCTGCAACAATCATGCAAGCTCGAACTATACCGACCTGTCGGCGCCAGCATCTGAAACGTGTTACGTACGTGCGATCTTTGTTGCCGATCCGTTTTGCTCGTGTCTCGCGCTAGACGGAAAGTTGTGGCGTTGGTGGATTCATGACAGCCGCTGCGATTCACGATCAGCGCTGAGTCAGTGAAGCGACGAAACAATATGTGAAAACGGTGGGGTGCGTGACAAACCAAGGGAAAAGGATGGTAGGTTCATTAGAGGTGGGAGGGGCAGCAGGAACGGATCAGAGAGAAAGGCATGTCGAACGTCAGGAAGCGCCAAGGGATTCTCGTTTCGGTGTGGAGATTTGGTCGGACCGAGGTAGAAATTCGCGGCCGGTTCCGGGAGGGTGCCCTGACGTTCTTCTTTCTTGTTGGATGTCTTTGCGTATCCTGGGGGAGCGTTCTCGCGCTAATTATCTTGCGCTGTGCCCCAGCCTCGTTCACGCCGCCCTCTGGACTTCTCCTTGCGGGCCGCAAATCAAAAAAGTATCCTGGGGGAGGATATCCAGAGCGTGAATTACCTACCCCGCTTTCGCTTCCAGGCCAGACCAAGTCATACCACGCGCCTCTCTCGTCAAGCGGCCTGACCAGTACAGGCTGCAATTTGGCATCGTTTGGTATCTCTTGGAAGCGAGGGTGGTCAAAAGCGAGGTAGGTTTGTTTTCCCCTAAGATATCCTGGAACGCTCAGTGTGCTGCGGCCAGCGGAGGGCCTCATGCCCCCGAAGGATGCCATCCCAGCCTGGGCCCGACCGTCGGGCGGCGCCCCGAGGCGCCGCTCCTGCCGCGCTCGGAGCGCCGAGGAGGGGGCTCCTCCTCCTCCCCCTCCTCCCCCCTCCTCCTCCCCCTCCCCCTCCTCCTCCTCCTCCCTCCTCCCTCCTCATCCTCCTCCGCCTCCTCCTCCTCCTCCTCCTCTTTCTCCCCCTCCCCCTCATCCTCCTCCTCCTCCTCCTCCTCCTCCTCCTCCTCCTCCTCCTCCTCCCCCTCCGGCGGCGGCGGCGGCCCCTCGGCGGCGAGGCGCAGGTGCTGGCTGGGTAGTCGAAGGCCAGACTGTCAGATTGGATTGGACCCCGCGGGCCAGTCTGGCCCGGCCAAACTGGATGATTTGGGTTATTCGCCAGACTGGATTCGCGTTGGCTCCCTCGCCAGATTGCCCCCGTTTGCCAGACTGGGCCTGCCAGATTGGCTTCGACTACCCAGGAGGGGGCGGGCCTTCTCAGAAGGCTCAGGATCGGGTACAGCCAGGACCCTGGCGAAGGGGAGCCAGATTGCGATGGGGCCCCGAAGCCCAACATGCGAAGCAGAATCACTCAACCTGGTCTGCCGCAGCTGGCGCTTTCCCGGTGACGGCAGTTCTGGTTCGCGGAACGGGGCGGGGGGGGGCGTCCCCCGGTACACATCACCAAACTAGGTCCCACTAAACTCGGGGGCGGAAAGGAGGGGGGTTATGACTAGGGGGGGGTGGATATCATGGCGGGGGCCATGATATTTCCCCAGATTCCATGGCGCCCCTTCTTACTTCATTACGTAAATGCCCCCCCCGCTGGGCCGCGCACGTGCCGCCAATCATGATTTGCACCCCCCCCTCACAGACACCCCCCTCTTGGCCGCTCCCGATAAACCCATTCTTGCGAACGCCCGACAGGAAGCTTCTGGCCTCCTCAGAGGCTGTCTAAGCCTTCTCCGCAGCCCCGCTGCCTGCCGGGAACGCCCACACCCTCTGCCTGCCCCCCTCGGCGCGCCGCCGAGTCGGAGGACACTGCAGCGGGGGCCGAAAGACATCGCCCTGGAAGTCATGGAAAACCAACGTGCGGCGCACACATCCACTGTCTCGTGACAGCGCCTCGGCATGCGCCAGAACCGAAACGTACGCGCGCGCGGGGGTACGCGCGTGTGTGTGTGTGTGTGTGCGCGTGTGTGCGCGTGTGCGCGTGTGTGTTTGTGCGTGTGTGCGGTTATTGTTGTTGTTGCTGCTGTTGTTGTTGGTGGTGGTGATGTTATTGTTGGTGTTGGTGTTGTTGTTGTTGTTGTTGGTGGTGGTGTTGGTGTTGGTGTTGGTGTTGGTGTTGGTGTTGGTGTTGGTGTTGGTGTTGGTGTTGGTGTTGGTGTTGGTGTTGGTGTTGGTGTTGTTGGTCTTGTTGGTGTTGTTAGTGTTGTTGGTGATGTTGTTGTTGTCGTTGTCGTTGTCGTTGTCGTTGACGTTGTCGTTGTCGTTGTCGTTGTGTGTCTGTGAGTGTGCGTGTGCGAGTGCGTGTGTGTGTGTGTGTGTGTGTGTGTGTGTGTGTGTGTGTGTTCGTTCGTTCGTTGCCCGCCCATAGCGGAGACACCGTGTCCTCGCACCGTCTCGTACCAGGCTGCACGCCACGGCAAGCAATGCCGCCGGCTGCAGTGATTGAGGGGGAGTCACGTGGGTGGTGCACGGTCCACGCTGCTCTTGTCGCACCCATCCGCCTGGACCAGCCCCTTCCCGGCACTGGGCACACCGACACTCACACGATTTGCGAGCAGCACACGCCACCTCGGTGGTTGCCGCTGTCGGTTTTAGTGGGTGGACCAGCCCGTCCCGGGTGGCGCGATGGGGCGGCACCTGCACCGCGCGAGTCCGCACAAGGCTTCAATAGCCTGTGGGAACGCGGGTGGGTGAGAGAGCGCGTTTGAGCCACACGTGCGTGCATGCGTGAAAGGGGAGGAAGGGGGAGGGGCCACGAAGAGATGAAGCCCACCAGCCACGGCCATGCCATCACACCTGAAAAGGAAGAGGGGGAGGGAGGGGAGGAAGGGGGAGGCAGGAGAGGGGGACATGCCAGAAGAAGGGAAGACAGAAAAGGACGGATAGGAGGGGAGGCGGGGGAAGGGGGGGGGACAGAGAAAGGCTGGACGAAAGCACGGAAGCAGCGAACGCTCGTGTGGCGCGGGTCATGGGCCACGGCACTGCCGTCGCTCCGGACCATGGCCGTGACGCGGCCGTGCCGGCGCACCCGAGAGGGCGACGACCGCCCACGACGACGACGACGACCCAGACGACGACCCAGGCGATACCGACAACGACGCCGACGACGAACGTCGACATTGACGGCGACGATGGCGACGACGACGAAGACGACAACGACGGCGACGACGGCGACGGCGGCGAAAAACACGACGACGGACAAGGGACGACAGCGGCCACGACCACAGACGGCGACGCCGACAACGACGACGACGACGACGACGACGACAACGATGCCGAGAACGACAAGGGGAGGGGAGGAAACATAGGAGGATAGCCAAATTCAAAAAAGCCTAGAAAATCGGCCGCGAGTACGCATACACAGACACATCACAGCTCAGCACGGCACGGGGGGCCGTCCGTGTGCATGTGTGCCCCACATCACATCACATGCGCAGCGCAGCACGGCCGCGCGTGTGCGTGTGTGCGTGGCAGCACACCACAGCACAACAGCACAACACGACACACCACAACACGACACAGCACGCCGCCGCACATCACATCACATACCAGCACATCACAGCACATCACAGCACACGCAGCTTGGCGTGTGTGTGTGATTGTCTTAGTGTGTCTCTGTGTGCCTCTGTGTGTCTCGGCCCGCACCAGAACCGAAACGCGTGCGCGCGGGGGTACCCATGTGTGTGTGCGTTTGTGCGCATATGTGTGTGCGCGTGTGTGTGTGGGTGGGTGTGTGTATGTGTGTGCGTGTGTATGTGTATGTTTGCGTGTCGTCGTGATATGCCAGTTGCGCTGCTGCTGCTTGGGGGAGCGCCTGGGTGAGGGGCGATCAGGGGGGGAAGGTGCTTTGCATCCCAGGACCAGAGATTTGGTCGTTGTTCTTGTTTCGCGGGAGGCCAACAAAAAAAGCGCTGCGCATTGATCAATTTGGTGAACGGCTGTTGGACTGGACGCCTCGGGGGTTCTCATCATCCTCAGTGTTGCGCGTGTTCGCCATCAGTCTCCGTCCTGCTCATTAAGCCGCTGCCCTTCCTCTTTCCTCCTGATTGTCACCTTCGCACGCTCCTGGGCCCACCAAGGTTGTCCGTTGGAGTTAATTGGATTTCACGAGGCAGGCGATCATGCATGATAATCTTCGAAAATGTGTTCGTGCAAATTTCTTGAATGGTCACGTGTGTCAGTTTCTGGTGTTGCAGATTGTAAGCGCAAGATAAGTGTCTAGACGAATTACGTGTTTGGGATGGTCTCTGAATATCGTGAATGTGCGAAGCGTTCAATATGGTGTCGTTTTCCCGGTCCTGTTCTGGACGCAGAGCACGTAACAAACCCAGTCTGCTTCTACAGCAGAATTGTTCTCTCGCGCATCATGCACAAGGCCCAGTCTGGTTCGTGGGAGCAGGGTCGCACTTGAACGCTTGGATCGGTACCCGCACCAGATATCGGTAGATGCGGTTGTCCGCATGTGTAGCCCACCGTTCTGATTGCGCCTGGAAGCGAGGTGTTGTTGAGAGATAGTATCCTCTATGTCACTACCTGTTCCAGTCTTGTTCTACCGTCCTTCTTTATCAGAGAGTGATTTGGCAGTCTTGGCGAGA